TGAGATTCCACCTCACCCCACAAAGAATGGCTGCTGTCAAGAAATCACACAATAACAAATGTTGGCGGGGTTGTGGGGAGAAAGGAACCCTTCTCCATTGTTGGTGGGAGTGCAGACTGGTGCAACCACTGTGGAAATCAAAATGGAGATACCTCAAAGAGCTGGGACTAGAGGTTCCATTTGACCCAGCCATCCCCCTGCTGGTTATCTTTCCAAAAGAATTAAAAGAATCATACCACAGTGATATGATATATGTGCACCTATGTTTATAGCGGCATGGTTTGTAATAGCTAAAACTTGGAAACAGCCCATTTGCCCATCAGTTGGAACCTGGATACAGAAGATGTGGTTTTTCTATAAAATGGAATATTACTCAGCCATAAAGAACGAGAAAATAGGTTCATTCGTAGGAAAATGGATACATATTGAAGATAAACTCCTAAGTGAAATAAATAAGTCACACATGTGTAAGTACTGAATAGTTTCTCTGGTGTGAATAATCTGCAATAATACAGAAGATCCTAATAAGATTACTGACATTGAGAAATAGGAAGAAAGGAGCTAAAGGTGTAGGGAAGGTGGGACAGGTAGTGGAAGAGTAAAAAGGGAAAAGAAAAAAATGTGAGATAATAAAAAGATGGAAATAAAGTGATTGTAGATGGGGAGGGAAGGAGAGGGTGAAGGAAGGCAGGGACAAGGGGAAAAAATGAGAACCAAGATCTGTCATGTAAAGGTACAAGATCCCAACAATGAATGTAACTGTATTGTATCCCTTAATTGTACCAATAAACTCAATTAAAGCTGGAAAAAAAAGAACAAAAGGAGAAAATAAATACATGAGAAAATGTTCAACATCACTGGTCATTGAAGAGATACAGATGAAAACAACACTAAGATTTCATCTCACCCCAGAAAGAGTGGCTGTTATCAAGAAATCAACCAATAACAAGTGTTGGCCAGGTTGTGGGGAGAAAGGAATCCTTCCCCATTGTTGGTGGGAGTGCAGTCTGGTGCAACCACTGTGGAAATCAATATGGAGATACCTCAAAGAACTAGGATTAAGGGCCCGAGATTTAGCTCAGTTTTTCTGCCACCTGCATCATAAGTGCAAAGTCTGGAGTTTGATTCCCAATAAAAAAACAAAACAAAACAAAAAAACAGAAAAGAAAGGAACTAGGATTAGAGGTTCCATTGACCCAGGTATCTCTCTGCTGGATATCTTTCCAAAAAATTAAAAGAATCATACCATAGTGATATATGCAAACCATGTTTATAGTGGCACAGTTTGTGCTAAACTTGGAAACAGCCCAATTGCCCATCAGGTGGAGACTGGATAAAGAAGATGTGTTTTTTTTTCTTTAAAATGGTGTACTACTCAGCCATAAAGAAAGAGAAACTAGAGTCATTCATAGGAAAATGGTTGCATATTGAAGCCATACTCTTAAGTGAACTAAATAAGACACAGGTGTAAATACCAACTAGTTTCTCTGGTGTGAAAAACTGAAAGTGTAAGTAAATAAGGTTCAAATTGTATAACCAATAATGTGACATAGAAAGAAGAGGGCTAAAGGTGTAGAGGAAGTGGGAAGGGTAGGGGAAAGGAAATAAGGGAAAAGAAAAAATATGAGTAAAGAAAAAATAGTAACAAAGTCTTTGTAAATAGGGGAGGGTGGAGGGGGTTAAAGGAGGGGAGGGGTATGGGAAAAAATGAGAACAAAGATCTGTCATGTAAAGGTACAAGATCCCAATGATGAATGCAACTGTACTCTATACTTTAAAAGTATCAATAAACTCAATGAAAAAAAGACTATATATATATATATATATATA